TTGGTCAAATGAGGAGAACATGTGAAATGTCCTGTAATTGTAGATAAAAAATAATTGATGTGGTTCTGATGCAGACAGACCACATTCTAAATAACAAAAATATATATTTTTTAATCACATCACTCAGTACCGGGTTCACCACAGAAAGGGTTCAATAGTAGGCTTTCTGACACTCACTTCTGTATGACATTTTATTACCTTTTTATGTCATCATGAGTGGGTTAACTAAATATTTGTAAAAGCATTAACTTGTTAAAATCCAGGACAGTTAAGCCACATCGAGTGATGCAATGGAAATTGACTTAAATGTGGTAACAGGACATTGTTTCAATAAATTGTGAGACATTTCATTCTATTTCCTGATTATGAAGTCAAGTTCTCATAAACTTGGAACAATCGGGTTTAGATCAAACTCGTCCCAATATGTCTCAACTTTCTCACCATCATAGTTTGAGAAAGTCATTATTGGTTAATATGATGACAACTCTCAAAACATAACATCTATTGTCATGACCCGGATCTTATGGATCATTACCACATTATAAATGTTGAAGTGAAATAGGGCAAGCATGATTCCATTTCAAAGTTCTATTTAGAAAGGTAGGTGATAAACAATGTTGGAATCTTGGCTCAAACAAAAAATTATGAACCTTATCTGTTCTGATCAGTAACCCTTCCTTATTACCGGAATACCTGTCTACCTGTGCCTACCCTGGCCTACCTGCGCATCAAACAAACATTGATTGCTATGTACCTTTTTTGCCAAGTCCCAGAGCTTGATGTGTGCCAAGGTGTGTATCATGCCTTCTCACACTGGCAACACTGAGTTTGTCTTGGCCTTGACATTACTATTGTTAAGAGTAAATGGTACAGTATACTTTGTTTCAGAAACAGAGATGCTATTGTCATCGCCCTGTTGTTTGTCAGATGGTTTTTATTTAATGTGTTTATTTATTCTTATTGTAATGGGGACATTTAAGATCACTAAAGTTCGTATTTAGTTTCGAGTGATCAACACAATGTTTAGCATTTGGGGATTTGGAATACACATTATTTCAAGTGTTCTGGTTGTGACACTCAGTGTGCGGGTTGATGGTCACAAGACTTGATACTAAATGTTATGGATTGTTCCTCAAATCTGTAGTGATTGACGCCAGACTGGATGTAAAAGGAGAACACACTGATTATTCAGCGTTGTATTGTATTAATGACGTACTGTGAAGACTGTGTGATTCTGTAGCAGCTGACAAAGTCTCTTTTTCAAGGGAGCCCTGGCCAAGAGGTGGTAGGTTTAAGGGAGGTTTCCACCCAGCATCCAGAAATTCACTTCTGTGACTACATTCTTAGACTGTAGATTTGTAGCATAGACATCTTACATTACACAATGGCAAAGCCTCTGGTTTCTTGCAGTAAAATCTGCTCAGATTTCTCTTCACTTTCACTTCTTTCCCGTTGTCGACCTGCTCAGACATGTTCCTGTGATCATATGGTTCTCCTCAATCCAACCTGATTTATAGAGAAGGGCTTTTCCTCAGCACAGAATACCTTCACACTGCATGTAATTAACATTTAGGATCCTATTTCATACTGGCCCCACTCTATAAGTGTTTACTTTTTCTTTCTTTCTTTTAAATACTTATTTAGGCTTATAGACTTCTGGACAAAATACCTATTCAAACCAAATCTGTCAGGTCTGAAGTTTGCTTAACACACCTCAACCCTTGACCAACAGTGGACACTTGTGGACAAAGTACCTATTCAAACAAAATGTGACAGGTCTGAAGTTTGCTTAACACACCTTAGCCCTTGACCAACAGTAGACATCTGATTATCTGATACATATTGATGGCGAATATCCAAAACAAATATGATAACTGACCAAGTACATTTGGCTTGTTTTTACAATAGGCTAATAGCTATTCATTTTCAAGGAAAGCTCAACAAGGGTTCTAACTTGATGGATTAACAGCTCATCCTTTAAAAAAGACTTGTCAGACTTTCCCAATGTCACGATCGTCTGAAGAAGCGGACCAATACGCAGCGCGTGGAGTGAACATGATGACTTTTATTTAATAAAGCAACCACGAAAAACAACAAATGACGATAGTGAAGTCCTCTGTAACACTGACAGAAACATGGAACAAAAACCCACAAACCAAGGAGAAACCACACAGTTTAAATATGGCTCCCAATCAGAGATAACGAGCCGACAGCTGACACTCGTTACCTCCGATTGGGAGTCATATGACTAATCCTAGAAATAAACGTGACAGAAATGCAACCATAGAAAATCACCCAAAACCCAACATAGAAATACACCCAAACAATGAAAATGAACAACCCTGGCTCAAATAATCAAAGTCCATGGAGCCAGAGTATCACAGTACCCCCCCCTAAAGGTGCGCACTCCGGGCGCACCAGCATACAGTCTAGGGGAGGGTCTGGGTGGGCGTCTGTCCATGGTGGCGGCTCTGGCCCAGGTCGTGGTCCCCACCCCACCTTAGTCACTATCCGCTTCCGTAGGCCCCTCCACCTGACCACCCCCCAATTAAACCCCACTGGATTAAGGGGCGGCACCGGACTAAGGGGCAGCACCGGACTAAGGGGCAGCACCGGACTAAGGGACAGTACCTGACTAAGGGGCAGCACCGGACTGAATGGCGGATCCTGGCTGGCTGGCTCTGGCGGATCCTGGCTGGACGGCTCTGGCGGATCCTGGCTGGACGGCTCTGGCGGATCCTGGCTGGCGGAAGGCTCTGGCTGATCCTGTCTGGCGGAAGGCTCTGGCTGATCCTGTCTGGCGGAAGGCTCTGGCTGATCCTGTCTGGCGGAAGGCTCTGGCTGCTCCTGTCTGGTGGAGAGCTCTAGCGGCTCCGGTCTGGCGGACGGCTCTGAAGGCTCATGGCAGACGGGCGGCTTTGCAGGCTCAGTACAGACGGGCAGTTCCTGCGGCGCTTGGCAGACGGACAGTTCAGACGGCGTTGGGCAGACGGCAGACTCTGGCCGTCTGAGGCGCATCGTAGGCCTGGTGCGTGGTGCCGGAACAGGAGGTACCGGGCTGAGGACACGCATCTCAGGGCTAGTGCGGGGAGAAGCAACAGGGCATGCTGGACCCTGGGGACGCACCGTAGGCCTGATGCGTGGTGCCGGAACTGGAGGTACCGGGCTGAGGACACGCATCTCAGGGCTAGTGCGGGAAGCAGCAACAGGGCATGCTTGGCCCTGGGGACGCACCGTAGGCCTGATGCGTGGTGTAGGCACTGGAAGTACCGGGCTGAGAACACGCATCTCAGGGCTAGTGCGGGGAGAAGCAACAGGGTATGCTGGACCCTGGGAACGCACTTAAGGGCTAGTGCGGAGAGCCGGAACAGGGCATGCTGGACCCTGGGGACTCACATTAAGCCTAGTGCGGAGAGCAGCAACAGGACGCACAGGACTCGGGAGACACACAGGAGGCTTGGGGCGTGGTGTAGGCACTGGTGGGAAAGGGCTGGCGACGCGCACCGTATCCCTGGTGCGAGTGGCCGGAACAGGCCGGGCCGGGCTGGCGAAGCGCACCGTATCCCTGGTGCGAGTGGCCGGAACAGGCCGGGCTGGGCTGGCGAAGCGCACCGTATCCCTGGTGCGAGTGGCCGGAACAGGCCGGGCTGGGCTGGCGAAGCGCACCGTATCCCTGGTGCGAGTGGCCGGAACAGGCCGGGCGGGGCTGGCGAAGCGCACCGTATCCCCGGTGCGAGTGGCCGGAACAGGCCGGGCCGGGCTGGCGAAGCGCACCGTATCCTTGGTGCGAGGGGTCGTAACAGGCCGGACCGTACTGGAGGCACACACCACTGGCTCTACCCCGGGAACTGGAACGGGCCGGACCGGACTGGATACACACCTCAGTCTCTCACGCCTTGCCTCTACATCTCCTTTCCCTACTTTGGCCAGTGACCCCCGTAACCTGGTTGCCTCTTGAATTCGCCCCTTCTCTGCCTCCGTTAGCCCCGTCGTCCAAGCCATGTGCCCCCCCCCAAAAAACTTTTTGGGGTTGCCTCTCGTCCTTCCAACGATGATGGCCCTGCTGACGCCGTTACTCCTCTCGCCGTCGCCTCTCCACCGTTTCGCTCCATGGACGGCGATCCATCCCATCCAGGATCTCCTCCCAAGTCCAGGACCCCTTTCCGTCCAAAATCTCCTCCCATGTCCAGGAAGCCTTTGGAGCTGGGTCCTGTTGCCGCTTGACACGCTGCTTGGTCCTTTGATGGTGGGTTTTTCTGTCACGATCGTCTGAAGAAGCGGACCAATACGCAGCGCGTGGAGTGAACATGATGACTTTTATTTAATAAAGCAACCACGAAAAACAACAAATGACGATAGTGAAGTCCTCTGTAACACTGACAGAAACATGGAACAAAAACCCACAAACCAAGGAGAAACCACACAGTTTAAATATGGCTCCCAATCAGAGATAACGAGCCGACAGCTGACACTCGTTACCTCCGATTGGGAGTCATATGACTAATCCTAGAAATAAACGTGACAGAAATGCAACCATAGAAAATCACCCAAAACCCAACATAGAAATACACCCAAACAATGAAAATGAACAACCCTGGCTCAAATAATCAAAGTCCATGGAGCCAGAGTATCACACCCAAAATGGATCAATAGATGGTCTAATGTCAATTTGCTTTACAATGTTGTAGAACCCTTTTAAACTTTACATGTGTTTTTATTTTGTTTTTGTTATGTGGGCACTGGGCACCATCCCCTAATTCGATAACATCACCCCAGTGAAGAAAATAAAGGGGGAAGCAGGTTTACATGTATCTGCCTCAGCCTGTTCACTGAATATTCTTCCCTCACCCCCCTCATCCATCTTTTAGCTCTCTTTGTAGAGTAAAATTTCAATATTGTGAAGGCTTAATGTCTTGGTTTCGTAAAAACAGGTTGCCAGTCCCCCAAGCGAATCCCCCGGTCAAGTCTGTACATCTCTGCACAGCAACCCCCTGCTGACGATGAGCCCCCTCCTCCTCCTTCCTCTCCCTCCCTGCTCCCACGGAACGGAGGGTCTTATGGTGGGACTTCACTCTCAGACCTCTCTGTGGTACTCTCACAGAACCCTACAGGGTTGGCCATTGTCAGCTGGCCCCCAACATAGAAGCTCTAATCAGGAAGTTATTGAACATGGATGGCCCTAATTCTCACAGATATTCCCTCTTTATCCCCTCACTCTTTTTTCTCTCTCCTCCTACACTGTGTAGGTTTAGAGTGGTGAATCAGCCCACTGCAGAGCGGAGCCCCTCTCCTCACATACAGAGCTGCCAGACAAGGTGTTCTCCAGGAGTGTTGTCCCCCACACCACTCTATCCAGCCCCTAAAGGCTGAGAGGATCAGATAATTACACAACAGGACAGACATGATCCACACTCCTCTGGACAGGATATCCTTTTAGTTTACAGTAAATGAGGAGGGGAGGTGATGATGTCAGAGGACAGCTGTGGCCGAATATGCTGCATCGGAATGTACAGCTGCAACTGGAGGCACCCCAGTGAGAGGAAACAAAAAGTGAGTACTGTTCTGGACCCAGATTTGTATTGTTGTGTAGAATATACAGTCGTGGTCAAAGGTTTTGAGAATGACACAAGTATTGGTCTTCACAAAGTTCGCTGCTTCAGTGTTATGAGATATTTTTGTCAGATGTTACTATGGTATACTGAAGTATAATTACAAACATTCCATAAGTGTCAAAGGCTTTTATTGACAATTACATTAAGTTTATGCAAAGAGTCAATATTTGCAGTGTTGACCCTTCTTTTTCAAGACCTCTGCAATCCGCCCTGGCATGCTGTCAATTAACTTCTGGGCCACATCCTGACTGATGGCAGCCCATTCTTGCATAATTAATGCTTGGAGTTAGTCAGAATTTGTGGGTTTTTGTTTGTCCACCCGCCTCTTGAGGATTGACCACAAGTTCTCAATGGGATTAAGGTCTGGGGAGTTTCCTGGCCATGGACCCAAAATGTCAATGTTTTGTTCCCCGAGCCACTTAGTTATCACTTTTGCCTTATGGCAAGGTGCTCCATCATGCTGAAAAAGGCATTGGTCGTCACCAAACTGTTATTGGATGGTTGGGAGATGTGTTGGTACCATTCTTTATTCATGGCTGTGTTCTTAGGCCAAATTGTGAGTGAGCCCACTCCCTTGGCTGAGAAGCAACCCCACAGATGAATGGTCTCAGGATGCTTTACTGTTGGCATGACACAGGACTGATGGTAGCGCTCACCTTGTCTTCTCCGGACAAGGTGTTTTCCGGATGCCCCAAACAATCGGAAAGGGGATTCATCATAGAAAATGACTTTACCCCAGGCCTCAGCAGTCCAATCCCTGTACCTTTTGCAGAATATCAGTCTGTCCCTGATGTTTTTCCTGGAGAGAAGAGGCTTCTTTGCTGCACTTCTTGACACCAGGCCATCCTCCAAAAGTCTTCGCCTCACTGTGCGTGCAGATGCACTCACACCTGCCTGCTGCCATTCCTGAGCAAGCTCTGCACTGGTGGTGCCCCGATCCCGCAGCTGAATCAACTTTAGGAGACGGTCCTGGCGCTTGCTGGACTTTCTTGGGCGCCCTGACGCCTTCTTCACAACAATTGAACCTCTCTCCTTGAAGTTCTTGATGATCCGATAAATGGTTGATTTAGGTGCAATCTTACTAGCAGCAATATCCTTGCCCGTGAAGCAATGATGACGGCACGTGTTTCCTTGCAGGTAACCATGGTTAACAGAGGAAGAACAATGATTTCAAGCACCACCCTCCTTTTAAAGCTTCCAGTCTGTTATTCTAACTCAATCAGCATGACAGAGTGATCTCCAGCATTGTCCTCGTCAACACTCTCACCTGTGTTAACGAGATAATCACTGACATGATGGCAGCTAGTCCTTTTGTGGCAGGGCTGAAATGCAGTGGAAATGGATTAAGTTCATTTTCATGGCAAAGAGGGACATTGCAATTAATTGCAATTCTTCTGATCACTCTTCATGACATTCTGGAGTATATGAAAATTGCCATCATACTAACTGTAAGTCGCTCCGGATAAGAGCGTCTGCCAAATGACCAAAATGCAAATGCAAATCAAAACTGAGGCAGCAGACTTTGTGAAAATTAGTATTTGTGTCATTCTCAAAACTTTTGACCACGACTGTAGCTATAGGACATACATTAAGACAATTACAATTTTTGGTACTAACTTCTCTTCATTACCATCATTATCCTCAAATTTGGTTTATATACTGTAATTCCATGTAGTTGTTTTAGTGACTTTTCCTAGGTGAGTCAGAGTTACAATTGGCCTACAAGGAAATGTTGTAATGGCTCATCATTGTCATCCTCATCTTCGTCATCATCATCATCCAGCAGCAGCAGTCACTGAGGCATTGAGCTTATACCTGCTCTACAGTTCAATCTAACTTGACAAAATCCTCAAAGTGATTATAACGGATTAACATTCCATTGCACAGCATTCAGTGGACGCATGAGGATTTTCCCCTTTATAAACTCACTGTGAGTGTATAATAGGAAGCCTGTATTCCCAGGCCAGTGAGATGTGGATGAATGTTATTGGAGAGGCATCCATACATTCAGCCTGTTGTGTAAATAAGAGCGGGATAATTGGGAGGAGGAAGATTGTGGAGCATGTGAATGTGTGCTAGGATTAATTGCTGGACTGAACTCACAGGATCCTACAGGCTGGGTAAAAGGTGATCTGGGACAGGACTACAAAGGGGACAAACCATTAGTGTCTAAGGGGAGGGGGGTTTCTGTTTGGACGCAATTGAGGGTGGGTGGATGGTGGATGCTGGTGTGTTTGATGACTGTATTGATTCCCCATAAGTGTGGTGGCATGGAACAGCAGGCGAAACCAAACATGAAGAGGCGTTGGAGTGACTCAGACAGTCCTGGGGGAGCTAACCCCTGAGCCCCTTAGAATCACCACATGTACAGTGTACATACACACACACACACACTCACACAAACACACACTTTTTGGGTCAACCAGCCATACAAGAACACTCAGAGAATATGTATTTCTAAACCATAGCTAGGGGTTATATATACAGTGCGTTCTGAAAGTATTCAGACCCCTTGACTTTGTCCCCATTTTGTTACGTTACAGCCTTATTCTAAAACTGATTAAATAGTTTTGTTTCCTCATCAATCTACACACAATACCCTATAACGACAAAACAAAAACAGGTTTTTTAGAAATTTTTGCAAATTTATAAATATTTTTTTACTGAAATATCACATTTACATAAGTACTCAGACCCTTTACTCAGTACTTTGTTGAAGCACCTTCGGCAGCGATTACAGCCTCGAGTCCTCTTGGGTATGACGCTACAAGCTTGGCACGCCTGTATTTGGGGAGTTTCTCCCATTCTTCTCTGCAGTTCCTCTCAAGCTCTATCAGGTTGGATGGGGAGCTTCGCTGCACAGCTATTTTCAGGTCTCTCCAGAGATGTTTGATTCGGTTCAAGTCCGGGCTCTGGCTGGGCCACTCAAGGACATTCAGAGACTTGTCCCGAAGCCGCTCCTGCGTTGTCTTGGCTGAGTGCTTAGGGTCGTTGTCCTGTTGGAAGGTGAACCTGTTTTTGTTTTGTCATTATGGGGTATTGTGTAGATTGATGGGGAAATGTTTTTATTTAATCTATTTTAGAATAAGGCTGTAATATAACAAAATGTGGAAAAAGGGAAGGGGTCTGAATACTTTCCGAATGGAAATTTATTAAAATTAAAAAACAGAAATACTTTATTTACAGTGAGGAAAAAAATTATTTAGTCAGCCACCAATTGTGCAAGTTCTCCCACTTAAAAAGATGAGAGAGGCCTGTAATTTTCATCATAGGTACACGTCAACTATGACAGACAAAATTTACAAATTATGGTGGAAAATAAGTATTTGGTCAATAACAAAAGTTTCTCAATACTTTGTTATATACCCTTTGTTGGCAATGACACAGGTCAAACGTTTTCTGTAAGTCTTCACAAGGTTTTCACACACTGTTGCTGGTATTTTGGCCCATTCCTCCATGCAGATCTCCTCTAGAGCAGTGATGTTTTGGGGCTGTCGCTGGGCAACACGTACTTTCAACTCCCTCCAAAGATTTTCTATGGGGTTGAGATCTGGAGACTGGCTAGGCCACTCCAGGACCTTGAAATGCTTCTTACGAAGCCACTCCTTCGTTGCCCGGACGGTGTGTTTGGGATCATTGTCATGCTGAAAGACCCAGCCACGTTTCATCTTCAATGCCCTTGCTGATGGAAGGAGGTTTTCACTCAAAATCTCACGATACATGGCCCCATTCATTCTTTCCTTTACACGGATCAGTCGTCCTGGTCCCTTTGCAGAAAAACAGCCCCAAAGCATGATGTTTCCACCCCCATGCTTCACAGTAGGTATGGTGTTCTTTGGATGCAACTCAGCATTCTTTGTCCTCCAAACACGACGAGTTGAGTTTTTACCAAAAAGTTATATTTTGGTTTCATCTGACCATATGACATTCTCCCAATCCTCTTCTGGATCATCCAAATGCACTCTAGCAAACTTCAGACGGGCCTGGACATGTACTGGCTTAAGCAGGGGGACACGTCTGGCACTGCATGATTTGAGTCCCTGGCGGCGTAGTGTGTTACTGATGGTAGGCTTTGTTACTTTGGTCCCAGCTCTCTGCAGGTCATTCACTAGGTCCCCCTGTGTGGTTCTGGGATTTTTGCTCACCGTTCTTGTGATCATTTTGACCCCACGGGGTGAGATCGAGGGAGATTATCAGTGGTCTTGTATGTCTTCCATTTCCTAATAATTGCTCCCACAGTTGATTTCTTCAAACCTAGCTGCTTACCTATTGCAGATTCACTCTTCCCAGCCTGGTGCAGGTCTACAATTTTGTTTCTGGTGTCCTTTGACAGCTCTTTGGTCTTGGCCATAGTGGAGTTTGGAGTGTGACTGTTTGAGGTTGTGGACAGGTGTCTTTTATACTGATAACAAGTTCAAACAGGTGCCATTAATACAGGTAACGAGTGGAGGACAGAGGAGCCTCTTAAAGAAGAAGTTACAGGTCTGTGAGAGCCAGAAATCTTGCTTGTTTGTAGGTGACCAAATACTTATTTTCCACCATAATTTGCAAAGAAATTCATAAAAAAATCCTACAATGTGATTTTCTGGAAAAAAAAATCTCAATTTGTCTGTCATAGTTGACGTGTACCTATGATGAAAATTACAGGCCTCTCTCATCTTTTTAAGTGGGAGAACTTGCACAATTGGTGGCTGACTAAATACTTTTTTCCCCCACTGTATGTAAGTATTAAGACCCTTTGCTATGAGACTCAAAATTTAGCTCAGGTGCATCCTGTTTCCATTGTTCATCCTTGAGATTCTTAACTCTCCTTGCTATAGTGTTCCTGCTGCTGGTTGTCAGTCGTTACCGCTGTGTCCCTGCTCACTCTGTTCTGGATGTACGTCTGTCTGATGGCTTTCAATGACCGCGAGGATCTCAACTGGTGAGCTTGGTCATACACTCTTGTGTTTGCACATACAGCTGCCGATACACACACACACACACACACACACACACACACACACACACACACACACACACACACACACACACACACGTTGACAGACTCTGTGATCTACCCTCTATTGTCCCCTACCAGGAAGGCCTTTTCCATTCTTAAACTGTGGGTGAACTGGTTCATGGTGCTGATCATTATCTCTGCTGTACTGACCATCTACTGCATCCTATTACTGGTGAGGGAGACAATTCATATCCCTATCAATGTATTTATGTAGTTTACATTCGCTGTGTTGTAATAACTGTTTAATTGCAGGTCTTTGCACTGGTCCAACTTGCCTTGAAAGAGCCTTTGGATTTATACTGTCTACATAAGGTATTAGGAACATTATGTATTCCTGGAATGTTGCCCTCTGCATGTGTTACAAGAAGTACCCAGCTATATTTACAGATCTGCATAAGATGAATGGTAATAGCATTGATGATTAACAATATTAACTAACTTAAGTATGATCTGTATTGACCGCATGTATTGTCTTGTGGTTTGCTCTGCACAGTTGTTCCTGTTTTTAGGTGTGGTCTTCGTCGCCCTGGGCACCACTGGAATAAGCTTACAGTGGAAAAAAGAGTGGCACACTGTTCTTCTGTCACTACAGGTATAGTAGGGCCAAAGTATTGCACCATGGAACCGTCTTTTAGGTGTGTGTGTGTATCTGTGTGTGTGTGTGTGTGTGTGTGTGTGTGTGTGTGTGTGTGTGTGTGTGTGTGTGTGTGTGCGTGCGCGGCGCGGCGCGTTGGTGAGAATGTTAGAGCTATAGTGAGATGTGTAGCAGGTTTGTGTGTTTTGGGTCAGAGCTTTAGCATGTGACATTGATCTCCCTCAGGCCACGGCTCCATTCCTACAGATGGGAGGGGTTGGAGCCCTGACCCTGGTAAGCTGCCTAGTGTTCCAGGGCTTCCATAGGGCCCGCAGAATAGGTTGGTGCGGATACTGAACACTTCCAATACAAATACACAAACACTCACCATGACATCAATAAAATGAGACATATTGTAGCCGACACACCCATATACAGGTGTATTACTTCAATATTGACAGAATAGAATTGAGTTCTGTGAAAACAGGGCGGTACTTAAGATCGTCTGCTAATTGACTAAAACGTAAATGTAATGTAAAATGAATGATTATACACACCAGCTGTATGAACTAATTCACTTGACTAAATGCAGCATCTTCTTTCCTTGCCTTTCTGTATTCACAACAATAGTTAAAGTATGACTGTTTCATTTGTTAACCTGTTAACTATGTGTGCCCCCAGCCTCTAAGATCATCATCATGGTAGTATTTGCTGGCGTGTCAGTGGCAATCTTCTTCAGCCCCCTCCTCATCCAATCCCCTTGTCTGGTAGAGAAGAAACAGCTGCCCCCTAAACCTGCCCTCATTGGTCATCGCGGAGCACCAATGGTGAGGAAGTGCATACTGCTCAGTCTATTTCTCATACCCTACATTGGTTCTATGGCCTCAATATTAAAAGTCTAAGCTGGAAAACACTAAGTACCTAAAGGTGATAGGCTACCTTAGTCATACAGTGGATAAGGCTTAATTACATAGCTATAAGACCATCATCCAAAAATGGCTTATGTGTTACCCTTTTACTGTTGACATAAATTTCATAATCATCCTTATGATTCAGTAGGCAAATTGACAAATCATCATATAGTGTATATACAGTATAACCAAATGACTTTAGGATTAGTGTTAGTTTACATTGCACTGAGCACATATCCCTATTTCCATCACTTTCCATTGAACCAGAGGGCTTAAATTCAATGTTCCCTCTAAACTGCGTGCAGAAGAAATATGAGCCCGCACAGAGAAGCACGAGATTGAACTTCAGTCAACTTTCTACAGTTTTCCTGTTAGTTAACACTATCAACGTTTCGCTCTACTGTGGGAATTGTGATCGAATCAACCCAACATTAGCCACATTCAATTGTAATATACCGAAACAAAACGAACTATGCAAGATTTAGTATGCAAAACTAACTGTGCAAGAGATTTTCTTGTAGACAGACCACATTGGATTAGGATTCTGTTTCATTGACAGGCTTGACTCAGGCCCGTACACAGACCGGTGCGCCATAACCAATCAAAGCTGCAGTAGGCCTATATGCAAATAACCATTGCCATATATGGATCTGTGCCATTCAGTTTGAACTGGACTGTTGTTTACAAGCTGACTAGACCGGGCGCGCATGTTGATTTTGTCCACCCACACCAGACGCGACCAGGACACGCAGGTTGAAATATCAAGACGAACTCTGAACCAACTATATTAATTTGGGGACAGGTTGAAAAGAATTAAACATTTATGGCAATTTAGCTAGCTAGCTTGCTGTTGCTAGCTAATTTGTCCTGGGATATAAACATTGGGTTGTTATTTTACCTGAAATGCACAAGGTCCTCTACTCCGTCAATTAATCCACAGATAAAAGGGTAAACCGAGTTTGTTTCTAGTAATCTCTCCTCCTTCAGGCTTCTTCTTCTTCGATCAGGTTTAACGGCGGTTGGCATCCAATATGTATATATACAGTTGAAGTCGGAAGTTTACATACACCTTAGCCAAATTCATTTAAACTCAGTTTTTCACAATTCCTGACATTTAATCCTAGTAAAAACTCCCTGTCTTAGGTCAGTTAGGATCACCACTTTATTTTAAGAATGTGAAATGTCAGAATAATAGTAGAGAGAATTATTTATTTCAGCTTTTATTTCTTTCATCACATTCCCAGTGGGTCAGAAGTTTACATACACTCATTAGTATTTGGTAGCATTGCCTTTAAATTGTTTAACGTGGGTCAAACGTTTCGGGTAGCCTTCCACAAGCTTCCCACAATAAGTTGGGTGAATTTTGGCCCATTCCTCCTGACAGAGCTGGTGTAACTGAGTCAGGTTTGTAGGCCTCCTTGCTCGCACACGCCTTTTCAGTTCTGCCCACAAATTTTCTATAGGATTGAGGTCAGGGCTTTGTGATGGCCACTCCAATACCTTTACTTTGTTGTCCTTAAGCTTTTTTGCCACAACTTTGGAAGTATGCTTGGGGTCATTGTCCATTTGGAAGACCCATTTGCGACCAAGCTTTAACTTCCTGACTGATGTCTTGAGATGTTGCTTTAATGTGTCCACATAATTTTCCTTCCTCATGATGCCATCTATTTTGTGAAGTGCACCAGTCCCTCCTGCAGCAAAGCACCCCCACAGCATGATGCTGCCACCCCGGTGCTTCACAGTTGGGATGGTGCTCTTCGGCTTGCAAGCCTACCTCTTTTTCCTCCAAACATAACGATGGTCATTATGGCCAAACAGTTCTATTTCTATTTCATCAGACGAGAGGACATTTCTCCAAAAAGTACGATCTTTGTCCCCATGTGCAGTTGCAAACCGTAGTCTGGCTTTTTTATGGCGGTTTTGGAGCAGTGGCTTCTTCCTTGCTGAGCGGCCTTTCAAGTTATGTCGATATAGGACTTGTTTTACTGTGGATATAGATACTTTTGTACCTGTTTCCTCCAGCATCTTCACAAGGTCCTTTGCTGTTGTTCTGGCATTGATTTGCACTTTTCGCACCAAAGTACATTCATCTCTAGGAGACAGAACGCGTCTCCTTCCTGAGCGGTATGACGGCTGCATGGTCCCATGGTGTTTATACTTGCGTACTATTGTTTGTACAGATGAATGTGGTACCTTCAGGCGTTTGGAAATTGCTCTCAAGGATGAACCAGACTTGTGGAGGTCTAAAATTTTTCTTCTGAGGTCTTGGCTGATTTATTTTGATTTTCCCATGATGTCAAGCAAAGAGGCACTGAGTTTGAAGGTAGGCCTTGAAATACATCCATAGGTACACCTCCAGTTGACTCAAATGATGTCAATTAGCCTATCAGAAGCTTCTAAAGCATGACATAATTTTTCGGAATTTTCCAAGCTGTTTAAAGGCACAGTCAACTTAGTGTATGTAAACTTCTGACCCACTGGAATTGTGATACAGTGAATTAAAAGTGAAATAATCTTTCTGTAAACAATTGTTGGAAAAATTACTTGTGTCATGCACAAAGTAGATGTCCTAACCGACTTGCCAAAACTATAGTTTGTTAAAAATAAATTTGTGGAGTGGTTGGAAAACGAGTTTTAATGACTCCAACCTAAGTATATGTAAACTTCCGACTTCAACTGTACATACACATACATATACACATACATACATATACATACATATCCTTTTTTAAATATATTTCCCTTTATTACTTTCCAACCCCGCCACGCCTTCCCTAATTGGAGTAAACTAGTGAACAACAACGCTTAGGCCTCTTACTTCCAGCTTATACAAACTATATACATCTATATACATTTTACATCTATTTTGTTCGTTTTTACTGCAGAACTTCCTCTACCCTCAACCTCGCCGATCATTTTCATCCAATATGTTGCATTACCGCCACCTACTAGACTGGAGTACAACTCCTTTATATTATGCTTTAAAAATAAAAAATAAAAAATAAAATAAAGAAATACCCTACCATCTAACACTACACTCACAAATTCAATTTTTTTTATCATAAAATAAAATTAACACCACCCTACTCCACTATTTAAATATATGTATTCCTACTTATTACTACCTCATGCCCTCAACCTGAAAGGATGGGACATCCCTGCAGTACAATTGATAACTATTGTTATAAATGCTAAAAATCCAATCTTACTGAAACATATATCCCTTGTTGGCCTATCCCTCTGTACTGGTACATATCTCCTACTCTCACCACTCCTCCCCCTTGACCCATATTCCTCTACTTTCTTCACTGCCTCAGCATATGACAACTTCTGCACTACTCTTACCCTGGAAACCTCAACCTAACTCTCTCTAACATTTCTGATCCTCAGCCCCATGGGCACCCCTACAATTAGCACACACGACTACTTTCCCCAATGCTACACATTCCTTTGTCTCATGCCCTTCTGCACACTTCTCACACCTTGGAACCTCCCTCCTACACACTGCTGCCACATACCCATAAGTTTGACACCTGTAACAACGTAATGTATTCGGCACATAAACTTGTACAGGATAACTTATACAGTGGGGAGAACAAGTAATTGATACACTGCTGATTTTGCAGGTTTTCCTACTTACAAAGCATGTAGAGGTCTGTAATTTTTATCATAGGTACACTTCAACTGTGAGAGACGGAATCTAAAACAAAAATCCACAAAATCACATTGTATGATTTTTAAGTAATTAATTTGCATTTTATTGCATGACATAAGTATTTGATCACCTACCAACCAGTAAGAATTCCGGCTCTCACAGATCTGTTCGTTTTTCTTTAAGAAGCCCTCCTGTTCTCCACTCATTACCTGTATTAACGGCACCTGTTTGAACTCGTTACCTGTATAAAAGACACCTGTCCACACACTCAATCAAACAGACTCCAACCTCTCCACAATGGCCAAGACCAGAGAGATATGTAAGGACATCAGGGATAAAACTGTAGACCTGCACAAGGCTGGGATGGGCTACAGGACAATAGGCAAGCAGCTTGGTGAGAAGGCAACAACTGTAGGTACAATTGTTAGAAAATGGAAGAAGTTCAAGATGACGGTCAATCACCCTCGGTCTGGGGATCTCACCTCGCGGGGCATCATGATCATGAGGAAGGTGAGGGATCAGCCCAGAACTACACGGCAGGACCTGGTCAATGACCTGAAGAGAGCTGGGACCACAGTCTCAAAGAAAACCATTAGTAACACACTACGCCGTCATGGATTAAAATCCTGCAGCGCACGCAAGGTCCCCCTGCTCAAGCCAGCGCATGTCCTGGCCCGTCTGAAGTTTGCCAATGACCATCTGGATGATCCAGAGGAGGAATGGGAGAAGGTCTTGTGGTCTGATGAGACAAAAATAGAGCTTTTTGGTCTAAACTCCACTCGCCGTGTTTGGAGGAAGAAGAAGGATGAGTACAACCCCAAGAACACCATCACAACCGTGAAGCATGGAGGTGGAAACATCATTCTTTGGGGATGCTTTTCTGCAAAGGGGACAGGACGACTACACCATATTGAGGGGAGGATGGATGGGGCCATGTATCGCGAGATCTTGGCCAACAACCTCTTTCCCTCAGTAAGAGCATTGAAGATGGGTCGTGGCTGGGTCTTCCAGCATGACAACGACCTGAAACACACAGCCAGGGCAACTAAGCAGTGGCTTCGTAAGAAGCATCTCATGGTCCTGGAGTGGCCTAGCCAGTCTCCAGACCTGAACCCAATAGAGGGAGCTGAAAGTCCGTATTGCCCAGCGACAGCCCCGAAACCTGAAGGATCTGGAGAAGGTCTGTATGGAGGAGTGGGCCAAAATCCCTGCTGCAGTGTGTGCAAACCTGGTCAAGACCTACAGGAAACGTATGATCTCTGTAATTGCAAACAAAGGTTTCTGTACCAAATATTAAGTTCTGCTTTTCTGATGTATCAAATACTTATGTCATCCAATAAAATGCAAATGAATTACTTAAAAATCATACAATGTGATTTTCTGGATTTTTGTTTTAGATTCCGTCTCTCACAGTTGAAGTGTACCTATGATAAAAATTACAGACCTCTACATGCTTTGTAAGTAAGAAAACCTGCAAAATCGGCAGTGTATCAAATACTTCTCCCCACTGTATATCCTAACTTCACTTTGTCGGGCAAAAACACAGACAATGACTCTTCTATTTCCCCACTCTCGCCACCCTGTTTGCGTCTCACTAAATGACGAGCATCAGAAACACTGGGAATCTTCCCCTTCAGTTGTTCAACTTTTACATTTACTGCTACCCCAGTAAACACTCCTTTAAATGGTGCCCTTTTCTTGAGAGCAAAACAATTAACATTTCTTGCCCCCATTCGTTTAACACAGAGCGCCTTCTCCCTCTGACCAGCAGAAACACAAACAATTATCACTAGACCACTTCTGGTTACCCACACCAATTCCACTGTACCCAACTCTGTTTTCACCCACCCTGAAACCACAAATGGATCAGCCAAAAGTCAAGGGTCCACTTTTTCCTAAAACTTCACTCCTACTGTCACAGACTAATCTTTATCCTGACCCTCGTTGCAAGTCTTGGGCTCTGAGAACTTCACCACACCTACCACTTCCGATACTTCACCCTCATTCACTTCCATTTCTCCTCGTGTCTTTAGCTCACTCTGCTTACATTTTCTACCATTCTTCTTTAACAAACTTTCTCCCTTTTTTTAACCGATTCAAGCTCACAATCTTCCTCCCTCTCTTTCTTAGACCTCCTCTGCCTCTCTTTTCCCTCCATTCCTCCGTATTCCAGGTCTCCTTATGATAATACTGCACTTCTCCTGACATACATCTTGTTCTTGCTTTCTCAAGGTACGCCATTTACAAGGCTCTCCAACTGAATCTTTGTCTAAAATTACTTCCACCGTACTCCTGGTTCGCAACAGGGGACTCTGGCATTGCTGCCTATCTCTCAATTTTCTTATCTCGTTCTTGGCTACCCCGTTCGAAAAGTTCCTCCTTCAGGCTTCTTCTTCTTCTTTGAACTTTATATGGCGGTTGGCAACCAACTTTAATGTGCATTACCACCACCAACTGGCCTGGAGTGTGGACCTCAGTTTATCTTTCAATCCCCCACGTGGGTATATGCTCCTAAACCAATGAGGAGATGGGAGAAGTGGGACTTGTAGCACATCAAGCGTCACAACTTGAATCAAGTTCTATTTTAGCACCTGGCTACGCAGATGTTTGTTGACGCACGCGAGCGGTGTGGTGCAATGATTGAATAACATGTACAGTGGGGAAAAAAAGTATTTAGTCAGCCACCAATTGTGCAAGTTCTCCCACTTAAAAAGATGAGAGAGGCCTGTAATTTTCATCATAGGTACACGTCAACTATGACAGACAAAATGAGAAAAGAAATTCCAGAAAATCACATTGTAGGATATTTAATGAATTTATTTGCAAATTATGGTGGAAAATAAGTATTTGGTCAATAACAAAAGTTTCTCAATACTTTGTTTTATACCCTTTGTTGGCAATGACACAGGTCAAACGTTTTCTGTAAGTCTTCACAAGGTTTTTACACACTGTTGCTGGTATTTTGGCCCATTCCTCCATGCAGATCTCCTCTAGAGCAGTGATGTTTTGGGGCTGTTGCTGGGCAACACGGACTTTCAACTCCCTCCAAAGATTTTCTATGGGGTTGAGATCTGGAGACTGGCTAGGCCACTCCAGGACCTTGAAATGCTTCTTACGAAGCCACTCCTTCGTTGCCCGGGGTGTATGTTTGGGATCATTGTCATGCTGAAAGACCCAGCCACGTTTCATCTTCAATGCCCTTGCTGATGGAAGGAGGTTTTCACTCAAAATCTCAAGATACATGGCCCCATTCATTCTTTCCTTTACACGGATCAGTCGTCCTGGTCCCTTTGCAGAAAAACAGCCCCAAAGCATGATGTTTCCACCCCCATGCGTCACAGTAGGTATGGTGTTCTTTGGATGCAACTCAGCATTCTTTGTCCTGCAAACACGACGAGTTGAGTTTTTACCAAAAAGTTATATTTTGGTTTCATCTGACCATATGACATTCTCCCAATCCTCTTCTGGATCATCCAAATGCACTCTAGCAAACTTCAGACGGGCCTGGACATGTACTGGCTTAAGCAGGGGTACACGTCTGCCACTGCAGGATTTGAGTCCCTGGCGGCGTAGTGTGTTACTGATGGTAGGCTTTGTTACTTTGGTTCCAGCTCTCTGCAGGTCATTCACTAGGTCCCCCCGTGTGGTTCTGGGATTTTTGCTCACCGTTCTTGTGATCATTTTGACCCCACGGGGTGAGATCTTTGCGTGGAGCCCCAGATCGAGGGAGATTATCAGTGGTCTTGTATGTCTTCCATTTCCTAATAATTGCTCCCACAGTTGATTTCTTCAAACCAAGCTGCTTACCTATTGCAGATGCACTCTTCCCAGCCTGGTGCAGGTCTACAATTTTGTTTCTGGTGTCCTTTGACAGCTCTTTGGTCTTGGCCATAGTGGAGTTTGGAGTGTGACTGTTTGAGGTTGTGGACAGGTGTCTTTTATACTGATAACAAGTTCAAACAGGTGCCATTAATACAGGTAACGAGTGGAGGACAGAGGAGCCTCTTAAAGAAGAAGTTACAGGTCTGTGAGAGCCAGAAATCTTGCTTGTTTGTAGGTGACCAAATACTTATTTTCCACCATAATTTGCAAATAAATTCATAAAAAATCCTACAATGTGATTTTCTGGAGAAAAAAAATCTCAATTTGTCTGTCATAGTTGACGTGTACCTATGATGAAAATTACAGGCCTCTCTCATCTATTTAATTTAAGTATGTGTATATTTATTTTGCAACGCACGCGACGGGAGCGGTGTGGTCAGCATATTGTTTAGGCTACAGTATGAGCGGTCGTGAGTAGATGCGCTTGTTTTGAGATCAAAGTGAGAGCTGCGTGTAGCCACATGTGCACATTTGTTCATATTCTTTGTTAGTTAGTGAGTTATTAGGCCAGTTATAGCTCAATTCTAGTCAACAATGGGGGAGTGGTTGCTTCCAACAAGAGCAAAACATTTGTGCATTTCTAGCCATCTTTGAAAAGCGAGTCAAAGGGTAAAGTTACAGGGGAAGTGTTGTATTTTGAGACAGTCTTGAATAAGCTAAGTAGCCAATAGGCAGAGCGTTGCATAATTTGTCTGATTCTCTGTAATAATGGTAAGGGAATAATAATGATTTTTATTTTGTAAAATGGTTTCTTGCATCAAACACAACATATTCAGTCACCTGCTTGTCTGAAGGACAAGTGGATAAACAGGATAATGTCAAGCCCTGCATGTTTTTTTGTTCAAACGTTTCATGGAATGTAGGCATTGTACACAACACATTGGCTGCTACTGTAGGCTGAATGATAGAACAGCTATTTCCATGTTAAAATGTTATCTGATGTGTTTTTCTCAATTGTTTTTGATGGTAGGCCGCTCTGGTAGGCCAACATTATGATCAAATAGCCACAGTAGCCACTGTTAAAACTGTAACTTAAAGTGGGTACAACCACAGTGTTCACAGTAAAGAGCACCGGAAGTTGCACATAATTTGCATAACGTTCAAGTTTGCGTTCAGCAAATTTGCTCAGTGCTGCATTTTTTTTAGGGAATATTGTTCACGTGGCATGTTGCCCCCATTACATTGCTCCACTCTTCTCCACTATCGCCACCGTGGGCCCACTCAGTTTAGCTGTGTCATATGTGTATTTAGCACAGGAGTGTTTCTCACCCATCTGTCCTCTCTCTGTGTTCAGCTAACCCCAGAGAACACCCTGATGTCGTTCAGGAGGAGTGTTGGGTGCGACGTGATTGCCTTCGAGACGGACGTGCAGCTCAGGTACCCAGGGGACATGGGCTGCTTCATGCATACATAGATGTTGCAGAGTTGTGAAGGATCAAACGTGCACTGCTGTTTTAAATTGTTTTCAGTTTAATAATAATAACATGTGGGATTTATATAGCGCTTTTCAAAGATGCAGTTTATTGACGTTTCTTTCTCCCCCAGTAAGGACAGAGTTCCTTACCTGATGCACGACCATGGCAGCCATTTCCTGAGGAGGACTACAGATGTTCTACAGAAGTTCCCTGGGAAAGACTTCAACAACAGCACAAACCTCACCTGGGAGGAGCTACAGGAATTAAATGCTGGTGATTGGTTCCTAAAGGTAAGGGTGATATCCAATTTCACAAGCCTCCCTTGTATGTTGTAGTTGGAAATAATTTCAGAAGGTTTACTTGAAAATTCCTTATATACTGTAGATCCTTTACATTTTTATTACAATTTGAACTATACCAACTCATTGACATAATGACATCCATACTATGGATGTCTCCCTTTCAGACAGATCCGTTCCGCTCAGTCTCCCAGCTCTCAGAGCAGGAGAAGAAGACAGCTGGGAACCAGAGTATTCCCTCCCTTCTGCAGCTGCTGGACCTAGCCAAGACTCATAACACCTCTGTCATCTTTGACCTCAAGAATGACGACAACAATGACACTATCGACACTGTGAACACCATCCTCAAATCTGGCATCCCCCAAGACCTGGTGAGTAGAATGTCTATCAGTATCACCACTTCATCATTCCTGTTCTGTGTAGTTAAAGTCTTATTACAGTTGTATGACAGTGTTTTCTGTTGTTTCTCTCTCTAGATCCTCTGGCTTCCCCCCAAACACAGGGTGGATGTGAGGGAGGTCGCACCAGGGTTCATACAGGTCTACAACAATGTGTCTGATATGGATCTTGACAGAGGAGACCATCTGAATGTCAAATACAGTGCGTTGAGTGCCACAGAGGTCCGGTGAGTAGCCTACCTCAAAGCGCCCACGCTTTTCTCAGAGCTGTAGCCAAATAAACCTTCATTCCAGAACCACATTCTATGGTACCTGTGCTGACTGACTGCTGCAGGGCACATAGTAGTGTCATAATGAAAAGTGTTGATGTTGGTGTGCTGAGACAAAGAACTGGCGTTGTTGTAGATGGAGACACACACTGCCTCAGGGGAGAATGAGAGTCAAATCATGTTTTCACCCAGGTGTGTTTTTTAATGGCTGAGAGCCCAGTAGTGAAACTTCCTCATGGGATGATAGTTTCTGTTGGTTTAGTGAAACGAACAGCTCCAAAGATAATGGGAAATGTTGTCTGAACAAAACATGATGTGTGCTTTAATAGTATGACATCTTATGATTGATCACTCCTGTCTGTAGTCTTTGAGAAGTGTCATGTTTGCTGAAGTAGCTCTGCGTAAGCTGAGCTCTTTCAACTAATCTTTGAATTACCTACTGAATTTGTGTTTTTGTGTGTTTCTGTGTGCCAGGGAGCTTCGGAGCAGGAATGTGTCGGTGAACCTGTGGGTGGTGAATGAACCATGGCTCTTCTCTCTGCTGTGGTGCTCGGGGGCCAGCTCTGTGACCACCAACGCCTGCTCCCTCCTAAAGGACATGTCCCAGCCTGACTGGACAATGGTGAGGGACTCACATCAAACCCCTCTTCTTCACTCTACCATAGGCACTCCCTCTTCAAAAGTCAACCCGATCACCCCACCCTGACATTGTAATTCTCACAAAGTCAATGTTGTGTTTGAACATTAGCTAGCATATATTATGATATCCATGTGTAGCATTGACCTTGACACTTATAAATGTGTTTTTAACCTTGTGCGCAATCTATGGGTCATATGAATGTACCTACTAGGTTTGTGTGTGTTTCAGAGACCTGATAGATACAGAATGATATGGATCACAGTGGACCTGGGGTCATTGCTCATAATGTTCGCACTGTTCATCTTACAGAGGTGAGTAGAGCACTACCATTGTTTGTAAAAGACAATGGAAACAATGTTTGTAATTTGATTACTTGATTTGTTTCACTTTACTCTTATTCTTTGGAAAAAGGTGTTGTCCCAGTCATGCCACAGGTGGGTTTTGTTAGTAGACATTGCAATTGATCAATATAATCAATATGGATAAATTCAAATTGATTGCCCTTATTTTAGCAATGTTTACAGTAATTACGTACGGTACCAATTACTAAGATAATTGCTATATATGTATTTTATATTATGAATCTTTAAGATTGCTATAGTTAACTTTGATATGAGAATGATAAATAAGGATTATGTCATGCTCTCTTACCGTAATACATGTCATCCTTGTCATGATGGTTTCAATCATTTCATCTGTAGTGTAGTGGTAGCATTAATGACATGCAAAGAAAACAACTGCTTTATTTGTTCTTACAATCACATAAACTAGGATACATGTACAAGGGCATCATATAAAGACAGTATACAGATGATGAAATGGAATAATGTTTTTGTGTCTGATTATCTCTGCAGGGAAAGAGAAGCAAAGAAAATGATTTTCCGCCTGGAATCAGAGAGAACTGTCCCCCTTCTTACCCTCTGAATAGTTGGAGTTAAGCCTGGAACAGAACAGCCTGGATCCAGAAATCCTCCCCCTTAATAATATACTATCTGAATGGTTAAGCCTTGAATCAGGAGGGAATTCGACTCATTTAAATTACAGTATTTAAAAATATGTGTGGATCACATACAGTACCAGTCAAAGGTTTGGACATACCTACTCATTCAATGGTTTTTCTTTATTTTTACTATTTTCTACATTGTAGAATAATAGTGAAGACATCAAAACTATGAAATAACACATATGGAATCATGTAGTAACCAAAAAAGTGTTAAACAAATGAAAATATATTTTAGATTTTAGATTCTTCAAAGTAGCCACCCTTTGCCTGGATGACAGCTTTGCACACTCTTGGCATTCTCTCAACCAGCTTCACCTGGAATGCTTTTCCAACAGTCTTGAAGGAGTTCCCACATATGCTCAGCACTTGTTGACTGCTTTTCCGTCACTCTGCGGTCCAACTCATCCCAAACCATCTCAATTGGGTTGAGGTTGTGTGATTGTGGAGGCCAGGTCATCTGATGCAGCACTCCATCACTCTCCTTCTTGGTCAAATAGCCCTTACTCAGCCTGGAGGTGTGTTGGGTCATTGTCCTGTTGAAAAACAAATGATAGTCCCACTAAGCGCAAACCAGATGGGATGGCGTATCGCTACAGAATGCTGTGGTAGCCATGCTGGTTAAGTGTTACCAGCAAAGCACCCCCACACCATCACACCTCCTCCTCCATGTTTCACGGTGGGAACCATACATGCAGAGATTATTCACCTACTCTGCGTCTCACGAAGACACGGCGGTTGGAACAAAAAATCTAAAATTTGGACTAACAGACCAAAGAACAGATTTCCACCTGTCTAATGTCCATTGCTTGTGTTTCTTGGCCTAAGCAAGTCTCTTCTTATTAGTAGTGGTTTCTTTGCAGCAATTCGACCACGAAGGCCCGATTCACGCAGTCTCCTCTGAATAGTTGATGTTGAGATGTGTCTGTTACTTGAACTCTGTGAAGCATTTATTTGGGCTGCAATTTCTGAGGCTGGTAACTCTAATGAACTTATCCTCTGCAGCAGAGGTAACTCTGGGTCTTCCTTTCCTGTGGCAGTCATCAGGAGAGCCAGTTTCATCATAGCGCTTGATGGTTTTTGCAACTGCACTTGAAGAAACGTTCAAAGTTCTTGACATTTTCGGGATTGACTGACCTTCATGTCTTAAAGTAATTAAGGACTGGCGTTTCTTTTTGCTTATTTGAGATGTTCTTGCCATAATACGGACTTGGTCTTTTACCAAATAGGGCTATCTTCTGTATTTCACCCCTACCTTGTCACAACACAACTGATTGGCTCAAATGCATTAAGAAGGAAATAAATTCCACAAATTAACTTTTAACAAGGCACACCTGTTAATTTAGATGCATTCCAGGTGACTACCTCATGAAGCTGGTTGAGAGAATGTGCAAAGCCGTCATCAAGGCAAAGGGTGGCTACTTTGAAGAATCTCAAATATAAAATATATTTTGATTTAACACTTTTTTGGTTACTACATGATTACATTTTACAAACATTTTACATTCATCATGAGAATTTATGAACAAAGGTGTAAATAGTATATTCCTATAGAAAATATGTTTGTGTAGCACTTTATTTGAAAAAAAACAAAAAAAAACAGAACTGGTTCACTCTACACATAAAGTTCATTCTTATTTAGAAACTATTGGTGTTGCTGATAAATGTCAGCACTATTTCCAGTGCACTTAGGGTTACATTCTGAAGGGGAGATTTACCAAATGAACACAGATCATATCCAGATTTGACGTGTGTGTATGTGTTTCTGAAATAAACGTTTTATGATGAGTTATGTGTCTGTCCATTCTCCGCATAAATAAAAAAAATGCAGTAACACCTTGTAATGTGTTAAATTGCTACAGGTGCTTCTCCTTGGCAATATGAAAGTATCTTCTACAACCACTAGATGGCAGGTGTAACCAAATTTGAGTGAGATGGTCAAATTTGAAGTGTCAAACTTGAATATTTTTGGTTGGCTATTTGAAAAAGTATGAAAAATACGTTAAGGGAATTGTTTTTCGACGATATTGTAGCGAATTTGGGGGTTAGCTCCAACCGGGACTCAAACCCGAATCCACCGACTGGAACGCAAATACCTTAACCGTTTTGCCAAGAGAGACGAACTTTTTGATGAGGATGGAGTTAAGGCTGGAACAGTGTTGTGTAAACGTCGCTACAATATTGGTGGTGGTAATGATGATGACGATGGAGACGATGATGATGAAGATGATAATTATGATTGAAGTCTAGCAAAAATACCCCTAAAAACCCCAAAATATGTTTTCATTACGAATTTTCTGTCTATAGACCACCATCCACATCCCCATGGGTGGGCTACAGTTATCACATATTTAACCGAGGGTGACCCATAAACACTTTTTCCAACAAAACTCCCAGACCCGTCTCGTGGCAATTGGATTACAGCTGCTGCCGCTACAGGAACAGTTCAGTGTTGTGCGAATTTGGGAGTGTCTGTTTCGGTGGTAAATTTGAAAACTGCGGGATTAACCAAATTTGGGGGAGAATAACGGGGTACAACAATCACCGTAGAAACATCAACTCTGTTAAATCTTTCTTCTGGTTTGTTTGATTACTTTTCGGCTTGCCTCGAATAGTTGTTCTCAAAATATTTTTCTATACACCATGGTCCACAAGTATGGTAAGTGCCTACATCATTTTTCGTACGTTTTCAGTTTGTGTACAAGTTTTAAACAACCGTAAACGTTTATTCGAGACCGTTTTTAGAACATTTATGTTTATTCGCTGTCATAGCCGAAAAGTATTGACAAGCAGAAAATTGTAGCAACGTTTCCGTGGTTTTCCACTTTGTTGCACACTAATAAGCCTGAACCGAATGAACTAACGTTAGCTGGTACATTTTTGGAAGATACTTGAAAACTCCCAAAGGAAAACAGGAAGTATGTTTCCATGAATTCATATATACTGGCATGGAGCACTTTCACTCTGCCATGGTAAGGGAAGTAATTCAGTTGACTCAGAATACACTTTATGTGGTTGTAGTAAAGCTAGTGAGGCGCATCCGTTATTGGGCATGTCACAAGGCTGTTAATAACGCTACACCTCCCACCTGGCTTCGGCAAACAGCTGTGCACGCGCATGCATTCTATACTTAGCCTACTCTAGTTCTGATAACGGACAGTCCCTTTCCCCGCCCATAGCAGCACCAAAAGTCAGAAAAACTCTAAAGCAATGAACAAAACTATGCACCAACTCTATCCTTGTCTTTGATGTGCTTTGAGCCTGACAATTGTACAATAGCCTATGGCATGAGTGTGCCCGCTAAAACCATAATTTGAGGCTTTTCATAGCATGCATTTAGGCTTGTCTTATGCTGTTGTAGAATAATATTGCCATTTGTTTGAAGGACCATAATGGTAAAGTGCACATCACATCTGATCAGTTTCTTAACTTTTCATCACAACGACTGGCTCTGTGAGGGTGTTAACATGAAGCATCCCTGTTGTCAGACACAGAGAGGGCAGTGGGTCTGCTGAGACAGTACCAGGACAGTCTGACCAGTCCAGAGGAACAGGCCCTGAAGACCAGCGTGGGGAAGGTCTCCACCATCTTCGGCAGCCAACTGTTTCATGCGCTATTAGGTAAGACACATATTGAGGCTTTCACTATTATTATTTTATGAATAATGAACCCACAGGGCACAGATGTCAATTCAACGTCTGTTCCACATTTGTTCAATAATGACGTGGAAACAACGTTGATTCAACTAGTGTGTGCCCAGTGGGAAGTCTCAGTCCAGTCCCTCAACAAACAAGCAAATTATTTTTCAAATCACTATACTCCAAATCAACTAGTGTATTTAGTAACAAAACTCATTAACAGATTTTTAAAAATTATACTATACTTATGTCTCATTATCTTTCTAATGAGAAAATGAGCTACTCACTAGTTGTTTTTTGTGTAGGCTTGTTATTCCCCCTGCCAAAGCTTCAGGATGTAGACAACAGGGTCAGGTTATATTAATTTGTGTGGGAAGTTAACTGAGCCTAAACGTTTCTCAATGAAGTCCCATGAAAGAGGCCTTTCAGTTCAACTCACAAAAGGCTTGCTGTATACCCCCCTCTCTAACGTACTTGGATTGTAATAAAATCCTATTAAACATGCCCATGACACAATGTGACACAATCTATGGGGCTGATCACAAGCCCTCTCACAGGCTCTCAGACAGCTCAGTTTGGCCAGAGGCTCAAACTTCTTTATTTTGTAAAAGTGTTACACATATTTTCAGTTGTTTATTTGCACTGTAAAAGAGTTACACATTTTCAGTGGTTTATTTGCACTGTTCCATCTTATCCTAACTTGATCAGGATCATCTCACAGAAAGAGATCCTCTTATTAGGTATGGTTCACTCACAACAGCCAAAACACTGATGTATGAGGTGTAATAAGAAGATGTTACCAGTCCACAATAGCTTTTTCAATACTATGAATTTGCATGACCTCACCACATCTATCATTGCCTAACTGGAGCAATGATCTAAACTAACTCTTGAGTATATTGCAACGATACCTTAATAAGCAGTTAGGGCCCCAAAAGAGCTCCTGTGAAACTACATTTCACTTCAGTCTTTTTACCCTGCAAAGGAGAGAAGTGAGTTCAATTTAACCAATGGTTGAGTGGCCCGTCTAATTACCATGGCCATGTCCTAATGATGCTAGCCTGTGGGTCTGCCGCTACTGCTGCTCTATCCAGAGCTCTGGAGACTCCATGGGGGGATGGGTGACCATGGAGCAGGGGTGAGGACTGGAGAAGAGGGGAGACTGAGGAAGCTGTCCACCCTGCTCAGTGATCTCTCCAGACGTGGATGCCTGCCTGTCCAAACTCATTGAACAAATACATTGATGATAATGTGCTATTAGCAAAATTATTGCTGCGGTCTAACTAGAAAAGTATGTGTTAATCATGACACAGAAAATACAAGATATGTTGCTCTATCTGTCTTTCAGTTGAGTTGGTCAATATATCCAGTATTCAAAAGATGGCTTTGTAAACCACGTATACTCCCCTCCGTATGTATTTGGACAGTGAAGCTAAAACGTTTAATTTGGCTTCTATACTCCAGCATTTTGTATTTGAGATCAAATGTTTTATATGAGGCGACAGTACAGAATGTCACATTTTATTTGAGGGTGTTTTCATACATATCTGTTTTATCTGTAGTTATATCATAACCCCAAGAAAATCCTAACCTCCCCTGTTAATTGTAATGGTGAGAGATTAGTATGTTTTGGGGGCATGATCTTTGTGCATCTGTAACTTTCTCACTCATTATTATTCACGATTCATTCATGATTATCTGTAATCATGGTAGTAGAAGTGTTTCGAAACATATTCTATTTTTATTTACAATAAAAGTAACTCCAAAATGACACAATACATTATTTACCATGAATTTCTATTTGGCACAACATATTCCAAAACGCAACCAAAGCAAACTGCAAGTGCATCCACCAAGTTTGTAGTCACAAGCTTGATGTAGTCATTGCATGCTAGGAATATGGGACCAAATACTCAACTTTTGACTAAATGTAATACACTTTAAGTGAATTTGTCCAAATACTTATTGTACCTTCAAATGGGGGGACTAGATAAATAAAGTGCATTCATTTCTAAATGGTAAAAACAGATATGTTTCAATTTACCCTCAATTAAAAGGTGACATTTTGTAAAGGGAAAGGAAAGTCAGTTGTACAACTGAATGCATTCAACTGAAATGTGCCTTTCGCATTTAACCCAACCCCTTTGAATCAGAGAGGTGCTGGGTGCTGCTTTAATCGACATCCACGTCATCGGCGCCTGACGTATTGTCATATAAAACATTTGATCTCAAATCCAAAATGCTGGAGTATAGAGCCAAATTAAAAGTTTTAGCTTCACTGTCCAAATAAATACATAGGAGAGTGTATAATTATCCCAACAGTTTATGTTTGATATACTAAAGAGCAGGCTGGGCTGCAGCGAGGGGGATCAGGGTTCCAAGCATTCCACACTAAAGAGTCTCGATCCCAGGGCAGGAATGTGCAGCAAAAGGCTGGGGCTGGAGGTATGGTAGAGTAGAGTGATGTAGATGGAAAAACAAACAGCTCACGGCTGCCGTGCCGTGCCATCCTCACCCCCTGTTTCTCCTGGCCTGCCTGACTGATCTGAGTTCAGCCTAAGGATATAACCCGAGAGAGTCTGTGTGAGAGAGAGTGTCTCAGGTACAGGGGCAGAGCAGGGTCAAACGAGGCCGGGTTCTCTACTCAACATGTGGTTTTAATCATCAGCCCAGGCACAGGGGAGGTGCTGAACGTTTACACAGCTAACGGGAATCCGGGGTAATTCAAACATTACTCATCGCATGAGCCTCCCAGACGCTCTCTGTTGTTTGCATTCATGGGCCGGGGTTCATGTGAACTGGGGAAGTTTGGGGTTTTCGTGTTGCTACTGTCGCTACTGTACCTTTTGTACAGTACCTATTTGAAAATAGGTAGAAGGGCTTTGCTTAGGCTACTTGTTGTAGTGTCATTGTTATAGTGGTGGAGGTATTTTTGCACTGGCTGTATTCGTGTTGTTGCCATTGTATTGCTACCGGTATGCTCTGCCACAGTGGGAACATTTGTAAATTAACAGTATTGGCACAATGTCAAAGAAAGTATGATGATAGTGAATGACAACAGGCATGACTGGTGCAAAAAGTGTTAATGAGTTCAGTTGTGGGCAGCATTGTACAGTATTTGATGTGTGAACGAATGGGAGTCCCCTTGCCTGTGATGCACTGTAGGAAGTTGGAGCGCTGAACACTTGATTGGATGTCTGCATGGTTGCACAATCATGAACAAAGGTCGCCTTAACTGCGGACTCGTCCCTTTGTTTCCCAACATGCAAACATGCAGGAAGTTGGGCATACCCACACACAACACTCCCACAAGTAGTGGAGCAGGATATTATTTTAGAGTTGGAGACTGGGAGTGAGGGGGGGTGGGGTTGGAATTGTACGGCCCTTTAATTCTGACCCAATTTTTGCTGAATGTAGATTGTAATGAGCAGAGTGTCTGTCTGTCTGTCACTTATCGTCATCCCATGGAAAACACTCTGGGGCACATTCTTTTTGGGCTTATTCACCCAGAACAGGCTATGAGTGGAAAGAGGATTCCAGTACACTTGAATAGGTCTGCCGCAAATAGAGGAGGGTCTAACGTGGGTGTATTCCTTACTCCCAATAACACACACACACACACACACACACACACACACACACACACACACACACACACACACACACACACACACACACACACACACACACACACACACAGTGTCATTTGTAGAACAGAGAGCAGTAGCAGTTGGAAAACCCTGATGACTTTGACTGAGGCAGACATTCTAACCAGGACATCCCAAAATGGGACCACAGTACTGAAAAGAGATCTGCGAGAGACGGCCTGTACTAACTGGGATAAAACAGGTTTTGTGTTTTTTGTTCCGTGGTCAGGAATTTCTGTGGTTTTTGAGGGTTGGAGTAGCTTTGGAATTTTGGGGGGGAAAGTTTGAGAAAGAGCTCCAGTCTCTGAGGTTTTATTTGACTGGTTTTTGTACACAACACTACACCTATTTAAAGCTCTGAACAAGCAGTTCTCTGTTGAGAGTAAGCCTTCTTCTTTTAAAGAAATCAACTCTAAAAAAGTGTTT